CATAAATTATATTAACAAACAAGATAATCACCTCTTGTCAATTGGCTTACCATTTCCAATTTTGAAAGCATTTAACAATGATGGGGGTTTTTGCATTATAATCAAACTTTCGTAAATATCACATATTACTACATGTACTTTTAACTGTGTCAATTCATAAACAAAACATTACATGAAGATATTTAAAGTTGTTACTCCCAGCATGGGTTGTATGAAGGATTTCTTAAGAAGTATTGTTTTGGATATCTACTCATTACATATAGCATAAATCAATATTGCAAAGAAAATTTGGGGTCAGTGTGCTTATTACTTATTAACAGAACAATAAACTTGACCTAAGTTTTGAGCACTTAAATCTTAACTTGATACATAAATCACTTTCATCTCAATTATATCTTATCAAATGTAATCATAGCAATAAATTATATCATCTGATTTCATGAAAAAAATAGATTAAATAAATATATCATTGAAAAAATGTTGCTAATAAATGCTTGTAAATTTTTGTGTGACTTTTTTTGCACTTAGTCTAATAAAATATCACATTCTAGGTATAAAAAATCTTAACAACCAATATAAAATTTTCTTGTATCAAGCTTTTTATAAATTCAGTGCTGATCAGTTAGAAGAATTGTGTAATTTCAAAAAATGAAATAAAAAATTGAGGTCATGCATGTAGTGACATAAATGGTGAAAAATTAAAGATGCAGAGTTTTAGTTGAAAATAAATTAAATTTTTCCTTGGACCCTAAGTGACTGCATATCTGTTAAAAATGACGTCATGAATTGCAACATTATCTTCAAATCTAGACTTAAAAATTTCTTCCAAAATGGCCAAAGATTTAAGTTGTTTTTTAATATTTTGCATAGGCTCCAACCTCTGATCTAAAATGTTTAATTATATAATGAAAGTATTGTTATAGAATGTAATAATAGAAAATAATAGAAAATGAAAGCACCAAGTCTCTACTTTATACTGGTGTTTGAAATGGGACATTGGGACTTGATCATTTAATTGGTATATGCACAGGGCCATTTTATGGATAAAGTGAACCTAGCTCTTGCAATTTGGACTCGATCCCTTTACCAACCCTGCATGCAATGGATATTAAGCCCTAGCTCTATAACAAAGACACCTCAAGTCCTACTAGATACTTCCACAGAGAGAGAGAGAGAGAGAGAGAGAGAGAGAGAGATGCTGCCTTCACTATTGTTAGTCATTATGAACAGTATACAACATAGGGTACATGTAATCTTCTAAATTCCGACACAGCACTCTGCCAACTTCAGTAAAATGTACTCAGTTACACGTGTATTCTAGTGTTTAATTCCAACAATTAAAACTGTGAACATGTAAACAATCACCCAACAGTACAACCAAACTGCCATTTTTATTAACTGTATCGTTTTTATGATCTAAATAGATGCCTTAAATAATATTTATGGCTAGACTTGAGAATAAATAAATTTAAATGCACGAAGTGTTGAGCACGAGTACTCCAACACAATGAGAGAGGCACCATGGGTGCATATTTTATGTTTTTATCATGACACATTCTGAAGACTTCAACAGTTGAATGCCATATAGAAGTTCTAATGACTTAATCCAGAGAGAGATCAACAGGTTCATTTATTTAGAAGAAATCATGTTCCATGTTCTCTGTTACAATAACAAATCTGAAATTGTACCTGGATGAATTTTAAATAACAATCTTAAAATATTTTAAGTTCAATACATGTTATTGCAATTTCAATTTTTTACACATGCATTTTAAATCTTAAGGACATATGCAATGTACCTTACCTACTGATAATTTTTCAAGATATTCTTAATTTAAGATTTTAGTGCCATCAGATGTTCCTAGACAAAAAATCAGCATACATTACCAGGGGTCTTGAAAAGATATCAATTGATGAAAATTTTTGTATAATTCAAAGAAAAATATACAAAAATTACTAAACATATATTCTACATGTTTTGTTTATCCAAACTTGTTTTAGAAGAAGTGTACAACAGCATATATAGCACTAAAATGTAGCACACAGTTCCTTTAAGTATTGGAACTCTTCAACTCCAGGTAAAAAGACAATGAAGTTCAAACCACGTTGCATATGTCCTTAAATCTAAACAAAATTAACTTTATAATATAATAAATTTAATCAACTAATCAGTCTGAATAGATCATAACTGGTTACAATTTAATGTCCGGTTAATACATTATTTTTTTGCAGTATATGTACATGTACTTTTTTTTGTATCAAACTAAAAATTCTTATGAAGAGCATTCAAATCTGAAATGATCCAATTGACCAATTACATGTAAATAAGTAAAACTGTCAAAACAGTAAATTTATTTTTGTTATATCCTTGAATACTAAATATTAAATAGTAAGAAGGTAAAAGTACTCTGTGTAAAAAATTCTACTTGATTTTAAAAATTAAACATCAAGTAATTTTCTACTCAGCAATGTTTGACATGGCAAATATTCTCAAATCACTGCAAATCTCTATGATTTATTTAGTGAAATTGCCATAACCACTACTGACATCTTGGAGAATATTTTATAGGGATGCACAATTTTATCGGTATACCAGTATATTGCGATTTTTATTCCGTGATATGTATCTTGATACGGAGACTAAAATACTGGTATTTGGTACATCACTATAAATTCCGGAAATTATTCATTTATTTGTTCAAACCATTGAAAGACAATTACAAGAAATGTAAAAAATGTTGAAAACAGTTAAACAAAGGCATCCATACATGCTTTATATTATATAAATAAAAAATTAAAAGTAAAGCTATGTTTTTAAAGCATACTTTTAAGAAATATTATGAAAATTCATTTGAAATTGTAGTAAAAATTGTGTGTAAAAATATCATGATTTATCCTGATATTTTTGGGAAAAAAATCGTGATATATCATGATACGAAATTTTTGCCGATACCCATCCCTGATATTTTAAGAGAGAGTGGGACGACAAACTTTTACAACCAAGAGTACAAAAGCCTATTAGTAAGACCAGACATAATATTTTACATTTCCTCACATTTTTACATAAAACAACCTGATAATAAAGTCATAACAAAATACAAAGGTAATCAAAGATTACCCGTACAAACTCACCACAATGAATGATATCATTCTATAAGTTAAAGCAAATCTGAGACAATTTTTTTCCTATTTAGTGTGCTTCCCTAGATAAATATCCATGCTAGTTTCGTTAAAGGACCCTCTCTACATTGCACCTTAATTTCAGGGTACTTTCATGTAGTTGGACTAACCACCATTTTACATAATTATAAATAGAATAAATTGTAATCTGCACTGTAGAACAAAATTTAATAAACTAGAAATATGTCCATAGGACATGAATGCCCTGCCGAGGGTAATAATATTAATAATGCAACATTTTAACACAAATTGAGAAAAGTGAGGTCGAGGTCAAAAGAAAGGTCAACAGGGATTTATCAGCCTATTTTGGGAAATGCCATTTTTGGGGAATTGGGAAATAATTATCGGCTTTTTGATGAAATTGGGAAAAATTTAAAATGTTGCTTAAATCATGTATTCAGGTGTAATTCATTTAATATTTCAGCATGAACTCTAATTTGGGCAACCAAACAGACAATTATATATGATCCAACTTCATACAAGATCAATTATGAATAACAGACTAATAAAAGTAAAATTGACTTCAATGAGTATAAAGTGTTTATACAACTTAGGGTAGTACATGTGTGTATGAGATTCCACTTTAGGTCATTACGTATACAGAATCTGTTTCTGGAAAATATAAACCTTCTGCAAGTATATATTTTCTCAAAGTCCTCTTTAATATGTATTAATGCATTGAAAATATTTTTTTCTATTTGAAATAATGCCTACATTCCTTACCATTCACTCGTAGATCAATTGAGTATGTAGAAATAACTTAATAAATCTATATAATTACACAATATCACCATTTTCAGAAAAACGGAGGAAATTCGGATTAAAAGTTGGCGATGTTTTTACAGTGTTTTTAAACATGTGTTATGACTGTAGCTTTGCTAAATGACTTAAATAGATGAAAATTACATACAATCTGACAATTTTCCTTGTGTTTTTCCAAGATAATTAAATATAAAAGCATTGTTCACCTATTGGGAAAAAATACTGCCAAATTGGGAAAAACTGAACTCATTTTCAATTGGGAATGGGGCCGAATTTCGGCCCCTGAGAAGGTACTGATAAATCCCTGGGTCAGATCCAACATCTGAAGAATGTCTGGTAGTGTCCATCCCTACATGTATATGCACCATCCATGCAGATTTGGTCCAGATAGGTTTATAGTTACTTGGGAACAGACCTGCTCCAAAAACTTTAACCTGATCGCTCATCTGGAAAATGTAGGTCAGATCCAGCATCTGAAGCAAGTCTGGTAGTGTCCATCCCTAAATCATAGTGGATGCATCATTCGTGCAAGTTTGGTCCAGGTAGGGCTTTAAGTTACTTGGGAATGGACTTGCTCCTCAAAATTTAACCTCAAATTTGTTACGGTGAGCTAAAAATCAGTATTAATTTAAAACATTGCAGGAAGAACCATTTATATAGTATCAATTTCCTATGGCTGTTGCTAAATAATCTAATCTCGCATATATTTTCTAGTTCTTCTGAAGTGTTGTTTCCTATTAGTCAGCTGTACATACAAATTTCAGTATCAAAAATACTGCAACTACTACTGAATAACCTTCTTTGGGGTTTTAACAATTATGTCATTAAGTATTTAGGGATTTATGAAGGAGCAATATTTCCTTACCTTCTGAGTTTCAAAATATAGTTGCCCTGGGTTTTATTTGTTTTTAAACAAATTATAGTGGTTCATACAAAAAGATTACCAGTATAAAATATCTGTCAAAATTTGTAACTGTAAGATTATGGTATAGTATTATGTTCTGATAAGCTAATAAAGACAACTCTTAACTAGACGTAAGCCTTCAAAGTATTCCAACCTTCCAATTGTCATCTTCTCTAAAACGTTGGAACAGTTTTTTTCCTGCTCCTGACATTTTGTACCACCAGCTCTCACCCTGAAAATCCAGAGACAGAGAGGAATTTCAGAACGCTGGCTTCTTATAGCTCTGACATGGGGACAAGGAAAGTTTATTTGGCTACTTACTGAAATAACAGCTAGAATAAAGTAAGAGATCTTGCAAATTGATCCTTTAAAATTCAGACAACTTAACACAAAGTGTAAAGAAGAATGTTAAAAAAATCAAACCATTAGGCCAAAAAAAATAATAGTCTTGTTTCCTGCTATCAGCCTGTAAAAAAAATAGGATAGGTAGGAAAATCATTTTATTTATTTATTTATTTTTTTTTTTTTTTTTTTTTGGACGGCATTTTTGGATATGAACTAATATAAGATCAAATTAAACATGTCACAGGTCAATATTGCCTTTTAAAATTAAATTTCATGTCTTTTGATGTTCAACTCAAGTGTTATTTTATGAAAATCCATATTTTAAACAGAGAATTTCATGAAATGCTTGTTTTGTTATAACAGAAACCTATTACAGTGACAGAAGGATGAAATTCCAGAAAATCCCGATAATTTTTTTTCTTCTAAAACTAAAAAAAACTTAAGGGCAGGCGCAAAAAAATAGGGTTGGTCGGGTAGCAGGAAACAAGATTATTATTTTTTGGCCCAAGATAAAAATCGTCACTACAGTATTCTTTAGTAGCAAGACATTCAGTGATATTTTATTACATACCAATTAAGATGAAAATATCATAGTTCCAATTTTTATTAGAATCATTTTTAAATGATACATTTATATATGTAAAAATAAAAGCAACCATAGTTCTATACATCTTTTCTGGTTGAAGCTGAATGATTAAAAACAGTTCTCTACTTCTTTTGAAACCATGACAAGATTCCTTCTTTTATAAGGTTTTTTATATTAAAACATTTCATAAATTTATTTGGTACTTGATTGCTTAGATATCTTAGAACAATATTCATCTAGCTTGGAATGTTAAATGATTGCTTAGACTCCAGGGAAGACAATAATTAATTTTATTATACCTCTGTGTAGTTTTCAATATAAAAATAAGACAAATAAACCTGCTATTTTTCTAAGCAGCTTATGGTGAAATAGTCATCGAAACTATTCACCAACAGCATTCAATTTCCCCAACATTTCATCTCGGATCTTTTCTGGCTTTATCCAATGTAGAGTCTGACACAAATAACGTATGCTTCCATATAATAAAACAACTATTTTCTGATTGTTCAGACAACAGCATATTATATTTATTGTCCCCCTAAAAAACAACTATTTTCCTTGGCTGCACCTTGGGAAATAGTAGCCGTCTTTGGGGACAATAAACTTGCTTTTGTCCTCATTAGTATAATAATCACAAACTTTTTAAAATACATGTATACTGTTTTTTTAAATTATCTTTAGTTTTAACTTTTCAGTGACAATATACTCCTTTGTAAGATCTGATATTCACATTATGCATGTTTACTATACAGAAGTCAATATTTTTTCTACAAGTCATGACCAAAGCAAAATAATCCCAGAATTTTCTGAGCAAATTTTAGCAATCCTGCACAAGACAAAGGTGATTTTTTATGAGACGATAAAAATTTCTTGAATAGTTTCTTAAAAATTGTTATATACAATAAATAGTAAAGTCAAAGGTCATTGGGAAGGTCAAGGTAAAACAAAACTGGACAGTTTAAAAAATCTTACCAAATTATGTATCAGTGCATGAGCTTATATAAAAATATCTTGAATTTATATTTTCTTAAAAACTTAAATAAATGCAAATGTAAGAAAAGTGAAGTCAAGGTCAAAGGCAGGTCAAGGTCAAAAGATAATGAAGCAGTTCAACAGCACTCACCAAAATGTATTAGCAAATGAAATTTGATAAAAATTTATTGATTTATTTCTTTAAAACTGAGCTAAACAAAAATTTAAGAACAGTGAGGTCAGTGTAAAGAAAAGGTCAAGGTAACAAAATGTTGACCCATTTGATTAGCTCTCATCAATATGTATCAGCATATGAAGTTAGATAAAGATATCTTGAATAGTTTCTTTGAAACTGAGCTGAATGCAAAGTGTGACAGACAGACAGAAGGATGGAAGATGGCCATGACAACACTTTTTGGCCCTGCCATATTCATGACAGCCAAGGCATAAAAAACGAAAATGAAATAAACATTCAAAACCTAACAATAACAGCATATTGCAGATATACTGGTGGCTGTATACAAAATAACAATATTGCCGATATACTAGAAGTTGTGTAGCAATTAAAAACACCACTAGCATACATGAAATGCCTAAAGTTCTGGAACAATTTCACTACATGTATAACCATAAAATTTCAAAATGAGGCACAGTAACCTAGCTACTCTCAGGTTGTAACACGTCATACCCTTCCCTAAAGATGTATCAACTTACCAAGCATAATGGTCCCAGGCCCCAAGACCACAGACTGAATTCACTGAAAACAGACTTATGTCAAAATTTCAAATTAGTACAACATTGAAATATATGTAACTTTGAAAAAGAAACAAATTTTTTCATCACATGTTTGTGTTGGTATATATCACACTCACTTGCAAGTTTTAAAAACATTTTTGTTAAATACAATTCAAGATATTAATAATCAAATTTGGACTTAAGTCTGTTTTCAGTTTATGGTCTTTGGGACCCTGGCCTCACAGTGTGCAAGTTATGATCTGGACATGATTTGACTATGAGTATTCCAAAATGAGGCCTTGGTGACCAGCCTTTGGGTTGCAATACATGCATTAGCTAAACAGGTCTGATACCCGGTAGTTCTTGGCCACATAGTGTGCAAGGGGATACGAAAAAACTTACAAATGTACAGAAGGGTTCATATACAGAGGGAAAGCCCACACCAAAATACCACCCATCAAAAGATAGAATGCTCTTTCATGTTGGTTTTTTTATCTTCATCAACTTATTTTTACTTTGTTCTTTTCAAAGGGTGGTTACGATAAATCAGGCCCATAGGAAGAAATTTCAGATGGGGGGGGGGGGGGGGGGGGGGGGACAGCCATACATTTTCAGTTGAGGGGGCAGTGGGCACTATCAACTACCAAAAATTCCTTGACACAAGCAAAATAAAAAAAAGGTCATTGTGACATTTTATTGAGGGGGCACAAGCATATAGTAGCAATGTTTTCTATAGTAACATATATATCGGCAAAATTATTGGGGGGGGGCACCCCCCCCCCCCCCCCCCCCCCGGTTCCTACAGCCATGTAAATAGTCACTGTTCTTCTCTTTACCCACAAGGTGTATCAAAAACTTAATTATGATGAGGCTGATCATCTCATTTCTGACTAATAGAATTTGAGTGCACTAAGGCAATTTTGGGATGGATACAGATGCTGAAATTTGAAAAAAAAAAAAAGTTATCCATTGACAACAGAGGCCAGAGGCTGATGTGAGTTTTTCTTATCCAATTTGCTGGTGTCTGCTATCATTCCTCTTCTAATATAGAGATAAATCTTACCTCAAATACAGAATGAATTACTAGCAATTATATTTGTTTAATTTTAGCAACCTCAACACACTTGTTGCAAATAAATTATACACTGGTTCACTGGTTTAAAGAGATGTCAAGTTTGTTTAAATGTCAGACTGTATTCTTTTGTAATGTGAAATAATTGAGAATTTGTGAAACTGAGTGAATTAACCACAAAACTGCAACTTATAATGACTTAGTCAAGATAATAGGGGTGATAACTAAAAATGGCCCTAATATATGCACAGAGTAAACATTATGAAGATCATTTTGATCCAAATTACCATTTATTTTATTTACCTTGAAATCATTTGCTTGTGTTTTCAGCTTTTCACCTTCTGCTGTTAAATTCTCTATGACTTTCTGTGATTCATCACTTGTGTTTTCGGATTTTTCTGATTTGTCTCCCTTTGCATCTGAGTTTGTGGTACAGTACTGGCCACTCTGTAGTCTTGTAAAGAAAAAAAGAAGAAGATAATTATAAGGCTGAACACAACACATTGGCTATAATGTACTGCAAAGTTTGCATAAGAAAGTATAGAGATATGTTTATCTCATTCCTATTTGAATTTATGAAAGATTGTAGACCTACACTTTGATAAATAAAACCCCAAAATGCTATTTCAATTTAAGACACTGAAAAATTTCCAATTTGAATCCTGGAGATCAAACATGCTGCTTATTTTGTCAAATTAGTGGAAATGATAGACATTTACTCTGCCAGGTAATTCTAAAAGACACAAACTTCTTAGGACACTTTTCTTTCAGGTAAAGTTCCCATAATATTTGCAATACCATATTTCATATATTTTTTTTTTTGCAACATTATTGGGATGCAAGCTGTTTATATCAAAATTAAACAAATCAGATGGAACACAACTTACTGAACACACTTCACCATACTCAGTACTATACAAGCAAGGAGAGATAACTCTATTACAAAACCAAAACTTGGTATCTACATGTATGTATGCAGATTTATTTTCTGCAATTAGAATTGCTCATGAACAATGCAGAAATTGGATAAATGCAGAAAAACAAGACATCGGTTGATGGAAATCCTGTTTTTTGCTTTCTGTGCAGATCAACCTACAATTCCTATGTTGTACAATGAGAGAGGCTTGTCTGTGATGTTGATAAACTGGCCATTTTCCTGACAAGAATAATCTGATTCTCTTTTTGCTTCAATTCTGGATTTTCTCCTCACTTTATCTAGAACAAATTTTGCAATGTCTTCAGTGGTATCTGTCATTCTGTGGTGTTCTTCATCCTGAAATGATGAATCCCTCTTCAAAGCTTACAGTCCCAGTAATCTGCAGGTCCCCACTTAACCAGGTTCATAAAATAGTATAGTATTCAATCATATACACCTCAAAGGAGAATGAAATAAAGAATGTGTCCATCCTTTACATCTTTGTTCAAAAGTCCATATAACAGGGTTTTCAACTACTAGTCACCATTTGTGACTAAAATTACAGCATACATACAATGTGTAGACTATTGATAGTTAGAGGAAGAGAAAATATTCTTGCACTTAATCTCTAACTCACAGCAAACACAAACACAGAGGTGAAAGGAGAGAAAATCCCATTATACAGTAATGTTTTATTACTGAAAAGAGGAACTATTCTCTTTTAGCATAACACTTACTGTATAAGGGAACTGTGCCCAACCTGTTAAATTGCAGATATATAGCCCACATGGCTTGCAAAGATGTCAAGTTAGTTTAAAATCCTTTGTAAGATTTTTCTCTGGCTAAGTCCATCTTGTCCATACAATTTGTTGACTTTTGTTTAATACTGCCTTTGGTCTTTTCTTCTGATTTCTACTTAAATCATGTCTACAGATTTTTTTTCCATGCACCATTCTCCCTTTGAGATCTAAGGTTATCATTCCTTGTCAACCAGTGCAAATATTACCTCTACCTTTTATTTCCAGTAAGTCAATGACAGTCGAGTGGACTGACAACTTTCTCAATCATCTAGTAATGACTCCCACTTCTCGTACTAAGTTGTGGCTTCTACTCCTGGAAATTTCCAAATCATCACAAGTCTCTGTAGTTCTCATGTGTGACTATACAGCCCTGGCCAATGGATGTAAATTCTTGTAGTGGTTTTAACTATTTTCATGTGTTGGTTCTTTTTTTCATCATTACCAAAATAGTTACAGAAACTACCTTCAGCACCAGTGTCCACATCAGTTTTTGCAGTAAACTATTTTGGTAGATCCAGGCATTAATTAATTTTTTTTCCCACAGAGAGTTACTTAAATTTTAATTTTCTCTAAATCGAAAAATAGAGATCATTGATATGGCAAGATTCATGCTATAGACAGTCTAGCAGCATACATGGGTCTGACTTTATCAAGTTTATTTGCAACTTTAAAATCATGACAGTTTTAATAAGAGATATAACATTGTAAAATAAAGAATATGATTTTACTCCTTGAAAAATGAATTAATAATTGTTAATTTTTTAATTATTGTCAATTGTTCATGAAAAAGGTGACGATAATGAACAGTGATTGAGCTCAATAAAATCTACAAACAATACAAATCTGTGAAAAGCCAAAAGGGCATAAAACACGGACCTCCAGAAATTCCAGAGGGGGTATCAGGAGGAGAAAGCATCACCTGTCAACAAGTCATTTCCACATGAAGTCCTATGTATTTAGCAGGAAGATGAAATATTCTGTAGTTTTTAGTATAAAAATTAAGTGTTTAAACAAAGGCCTAATAGCTGGTATGAAACATGTCAGCCAAAATGACCAAATGATAGGTAAAATTTGTTAACGAAGTCATTATAACAACCATAGAATATATGAAATGCTGACTTTAAATCAATGAGGTTGTTAAAATCCCTGTAACATCAACTTATCTGTCAGTAGTCTGTCTTGGTTTAAAAAAAATGTACTCCGTGAATGCTCCCATAAGTTGGGAGATGCAAACACCATATGCAGCCAACTCAAGTGATAGCAGAATTTTACTACATAAAAGGAAAACTGATGATGGAAAAGCTGAACTCATTTGGTTTGTTATAAAATTTAGTTGTTTGTCTGCCCTTATCTTATGTAGTCAGTAAAACATCCATATATGAAATAGATGTGGCAGACTTATGTGAGAGAAAATTCCTAGTTTTCGTTTAAAGATTCAGCATGATTTTCCAAATTGAATGGATATGGGTGCCATTCCCGACTGGTATTAAAAAAAAAAACTGTTGACTATACAATATTTGTGAAAGCTAAATATTGTCAAGTTTACACGGCAAAGATATAATCATGGTTCATAAATGTCTTACGCAACTGTTCAATAACAGCATCGTAAATTCTGCTGAAAAAAAAGTTCATTATTATAGCACCTCAAAACAAGATCTGGGGAGGATGCCTCCAATTATATTTATAAATAATTAGCATATCTTCACAATTCAGAAAAAAATTAAACAAATGATGAAAGAAAGTCTTGAACGCGAACGTTTCGTAACCTTGAAATACATAACATCAATAAGCGAATATATCAGAGTATTTCAAATTCTTCATTGTGCGTGCCGTTTAAAAACCATCTGGTTATAATGCTCACCTATTCCATGTTACTCTTTGATAATTATTTTGTCTTAAACTTCTTGAAATCGATATGACAGTTCTGACGCACATGCCTCCGATGGTCGCCATTGTTGATTGAAATTATGATATGGATCCGGTCGGCTTATATATATCCGGAAATCTATCAAAACTGTTACATCATTACATTTTATGTAGAATTTCCCTTTTCCTAATTTGTTATTTTCATAAACTTTAATTCAAATCTTTTAATACAGGCCATCTGATCAATAAAATATTAAAATCAGGATGTTTTTTTACAATGTTTTGAGATGATCCACATCGATAATTCATACTTAAGATATTCGAGTTCAGTAAAATATGGATAGAATTCAATATGGGCTATTCAATACAATCTACAATTAAATTTAAATTACTCATATATCCAAACTCTTTAAATTGCTGTTTTTTCTATTCCACGAATCAACCCTTAATGAAAGATATAGAAGGATTTTATATTATGGAAAATATTGCGTTCGATTTACTGAAAATTAATCTAGTTTCATTTCACTTTTCCCAAACTTTCTAGAACTTACTACCTACTGTTACCAATGGTAAAAATGGATTTGCAACAAGGTGACACGTGATTCTGGACTAAGCAAAGGAATGATGCAAAAGGCTGTAGTTTGCCAAAACTTTGATTTTGATAAATACATCTGCAACCCAACCAAATTCAACATTGATACAGAGGGGATGTAAGACTAGAGTGTGTCATGTTTGTGCCTGCGAAAGAGAGAGAGAGAGAGATGTTAAATTGGATGTTATAAGCTTTTGATGATTTTATAACATTTTCTCCTTTAATAAGCTTTGATGCAATTTCGATCGTTTAATATGCACCTTTTTTATGGTACTTTGATTTTACCTATTGAATGTGTTTAGATAGAGATGGATGTACCGAAGAATTTGCATCTACATACATCAAGCGATGGTGGCATTATTAAAGACTCAATGACTCACGCTTCCTCATTGGGTGATGATTCCTGTTCTTCATCCTTTGCATCACAACAGAACTCTGTTACTCCACGTCAAACAGATCAGTCTGTTTTAAGGTACAGTAGAAGCAGCAGTACAGATAGCTCAGATTCCCATGATAGAGGGGAGATCAAGTCTATTGTAAGAGTGAAGGACCCTGCACTAGATTTCTCACCTCTAATGGCATTACTGCAGCCTTACACAGATCTGAACAAGCCACCAGCTAACTGGTTAAGGAGGAGATCTCTTCCTCAGCAGCAGAGGGCAAGGCAATTTTTGTGGCCAAAAAGAGTTTCAAGGTAAACAATATAAGGTGTTGGATATAGGTAGATTTACACATTTTTATATCACAGTAGTGGTTTATTTTTTGGACTCTGTGAAATGAAAAGTGAACGTCACAAAATGGGCAGAGCTCGATGGTAGGATTTTCATTCTATATTTAATTTTACATATGCTGACTTAATAAACATCTGACTTCTGTGATAAAATACTCAACATGATTACAGTTATATCTCAATGACTACCGTATAAGCAGAAATTTTGGTGAGGATTCAATTTTGGCATTTTTAATGAGGGTGTTGCTAACAATTTGTTCCACGTTAGAGGTTACCTTTATCTTTTTATGCACCATAAGATCGCTAGAATTACTTCTCGCTGAAAATAATTACTGATTTTTATGAACAAATTACTAATTTTAAAATTAAATTAGTAATAAATTAAATTTCCATCTTGCTAAAAATTCCTCTTATACAATATTTAATTAAAAATTAGACTAATTGTCTTGTAATTGCTCCGTATAATATGCTACAATACTATGTTGTAGCATATCATACAGGGGCAGAATTACTAGTAAAATTTTAATTATATTCAATTAGATTCTTTGATTAAGTAGACAGATATCTACGAAGGATCTGAAAATATTCCATTGGAGTTATCTCCAATTGACCTTTATTTATAAGTATTAAAAAAACAAGCCCTTTAGGGATCAGTACCTTGATGTGGTGAAGGGCTTGTGTGTCTCAATGACCCAGACAGCTATGCTGGAGGGAGCATAAGTTCCTGGTAGGGCCTTCCTTGTCAGACAGGTCAACGTGTAGAGACCAGACAAAATGATCCACTGCTCTTCCAGGTTGGGCATAGGGCTAACAACCCTATCCTTGAAAAATAACTATGTTTGGAAAATTAATACTTCAGTGTGCGACGGACCTCCTGAGTTAAGTGAGACTTTTTTGAATGCTGGTGGTCAAAGACATGAGGACATTACCAGCAGGATATTGGAAGACCTAAGCACCACCAATATCAAGATCAGATTAGGACACCGGAATGTAAAAATGGTGTACAACACAGGCAAGCTGACACAGATTACATCAGAGATGAAGAGATTCAAACTTCATGTCCCAGGAGTGAGTGAGAGCAGATGGACTGGACCTGGGAAGATGAGAACCCATACTGGTACAACCGTCCTCTACTCTGGAAGAGATGATCACCAGAACCACGAGGGAGATGCAGGGAGAGGCTTGGAGTGATGTCTGCAAGAGTGGAAGCCCATAACCAGCAGACTGATGAGTGAAAAAGAATAAAGGGCAGACACAACATCACCATCATCCAGTGCTATGCACCAACAAATGACAAGAGTGAAGAGGTGAAAGACGACTTCTACAACCAGTTCAGACAGAGACTGAGAAAGCCACAGCGACATCTCATTATAATCATGGGGGGATCTCAATGCAAAAGCAGGACAGGGCAACACCAATTATGAGAAAGTTATGGGTAATCATGGAATAAGAAAAGGAATGACAATGGAGAGAGACTAGTGGAGTTCCGTAAACAACTTGGTAATAGGAGGAACCCCTTTTTTCCCACACCATGATATCCACAAGCTGACCAGGAACTCGCCAAATGGATGAGACAGGAGCCAGGTTGACCACTTGTCTTGATGATCAATGGTATGTGGAGATGCACCATACTAAACGTGATGACCACATGAAGTGCAGAAGTTTGGAGTTATCAAGGCGATGCACTTATTGGCTAGATATAAAGGTCTATCTGAAACGAACCCAAATTAATATTGTTAGGTCCTTCATATAGCTGTAATGGTTAGGGCCATGGATATCTGCCTGGGTAGCTCAGTCGGTAGAGCACCTTACTAGTGATGCAGGGGTCCCAGGTTGGTTTCCCAGTCCAGTCATACATTTTCTCCTTTCCTGTTACATAGCAATTATAAAGTGGATCAAAGAATCTAATTAGAACTGTATATTTCTTATCATGTATTTCAATTTTTTTTCACCTTTCCAGTTATCTTCTCAGTGATTTTAAATTCACAGAGACATTAGATTAACTTATTACTAACCAGAATCTTTGTGTCTTTTCAGTTTTGCGATGGCAAACAATGCATTAGACCTTACCGGAGAAGTTGATGTGATATCACAAGCGAAGGTGCTTGGTTGTTTACAAGTTTTTTATCTTTTTACCAGGGGAAAAATATATGAAGTTGTTTGAAATTTGATTGTATAGCATGTACATCAAATAAATTGTGAATTCAATAATTGCACTACTTTTACCCCCAGAGTATCAAGAAACTGCTGAAGATGCCATTTTCGTCTAAGTCCCAGATCAGTATGATGGTTCACAAAGTGGACAATTCTCTTCTGATTGATGACTTTGATATTCACAAAAACCTGTTGAGAAAGCAGAATGTAAGTTTATGTATCTGTCATGTAAAAGTATAATAGTCAAACATGCTTATAGCAAACATAGGAAGTATAGTCAAACACGCTTATAGCAAAAAAAAAGTATAGTCAAACACGCTTATAGCAGACACACTTATAAGGAATTGATGCTTTCAGCACAGTGGCTCTAAAATATATGGTGAAAGTATAGTTAAACATGCCTATAGTGAACACACTTATAAGGAATTGACACTTTCAGCAAAGTGGCTCTAAAAGATATGGTCAAAGTATATTGAAACACGCTTATAGCAATCACACTTATGATGAATTGATGCTTTCAGCAAAGTGGCTCTGAAATATATGGTGAAAGTATATTAAAACACGCTTATAGCATATATTTTGGGGTTGCTCCTGTGATTTAATGTTCAATGTGCAATATTCAAAGTTTAAATTTTCTGAACTTGACTTTACATTGCATGAAAACTATAATATGTTTTTGATCTGAGATAATTTTTTGCCCCCCCCCCCCCCCCTCCCAAAAAAAAAACCAAACCAAAAAAAAAACACTGGTAGTTTTTGAATATTTTACAGTTGTGCCTTTAATGCTGAAAACAAGTGTTACAATCGTAAGTTGTAATATTGTCTTAAGAATAATGAGATGCAAAATTAATTGTTAGTTGATTTATTCGATTATTTACACTCCTATGACTTCAGGATGACTGGAAATGGTTGCGGGAATTTTACTTGGAGTCAGTAAAGAAGGACATGCAGGTAATATTTTTTTTTTTATTTATTTCTAATTAAAAATTGTATATAAATCTTCATATTGATAGAATTCTCTGACATGTAGTTACATGTGTGTTTTAGGTGAAATGTGTGCCAAAGAAAAAGAAGACCAGAGACTATCTTCAGAATAAAAACATGCTTTCCAAGTTTCTGTACAGAAGGTGAAATTGTTAAATTTTTTTTTTCTCTATCTGTAATCATTTTCAATGCATTTCACCTGTAAAGGGAGTTAACTTGTGAGTTGAATGAATTTCTCAAGAGGATTTTGATGCCATGAACTTCCTACATGTGTTTTAAGTTCATAAACCTTGATTAAGATTTAAAATTTCTTTGAACAGAGAACCAGTTGTCAAAATAAACATTCTCGTGTTTGGAGATATTGAAAATACAGTTGAACTTTGGTATCTCGAACACAGATATATCGAATACCATGGATATGTCGAAATCATTTTGAAGTCCCAACTGCTTATTCCTTAAGTATTTTACCTGGATATCTCCAGATCAGGAGATGCTCTGTTATCTCGAAGTATTTTCTCGGTCCCTTCGAGTTCGAGATAACAAGGTTTCACTGTATATTTATAGCTGAGGTCTAGTTTAATTAGGGAAATATATCAGTTGTACAATCTTACATGTAAATCTGTTCAAAGAAACTCAATTACCTGTTCTGCACATGCAGATATATACATACAGGTGACTCTCGATGGCTCGAACTCCGATCTCTTGAAGTTCTCGATCTCTCGAAGTGAACCTCTGGTCCCATTTTTTTCCTCTATATAACAAAGCAAATTTACTTCTGATCTCTCGAACTTACGATCTCTCGAAGTTTTCTATCTCGAGAACCAAGACCTGGGTCCCGTTACACACATTTCAGCGAGTGTACACTCCAATCAAGCGTAAAATTAATGCAGCTTGGACTTACCTGGGTAACAGTGAACGCCTGGGGCTGGCATGGAAGTGTCAATTGGGTGTTTACATAGATGACACTATACCTGTGAGCATCCGAGTGTTGATTTAATTAATTGGTTATAATTGGTAAATTATAAACGGATTGCTTCATAACTTATATTGACTTGACAGCAAGACGATAATTTTTAGAAAATAATTTAATAGACGTGTCAATAATTTTCCATAAATTATGATTGATTGATAGACGAATTTCACATTCTTAAGAGTTATCTCCCATTGTCAGCGTAACACTCATTTTTGTCACTATATCCTTTGTAACTTACCTGTAAATATTTTCAACCTTCAAACGGAATTGGACAATTTTGACCCATTCCTGAATTACCTTAGTATGCAACATAAAAAACATAATGGACATATTCAAACGGATTTAGTTTGTGAGATATTGCCCCTAAAATTTGGTAATGTTATAGAGGGAAAAGAGTGTCTTACGCCGATTGACCCCAGATTGACCCGGCAAAGGGAAATAACTTTCGTAAATGTGAAATTCGTCTATTGTATGTTGTTTTACGCCCCATTCGAGAATTTTACACTCATATAGAGACATCACCATATACCGGTGAATGGCTTCAAATTTTGATCTTTACTCGGCACTCAGGGCCATTGAGCAGTGAGGGTTCTTTATCGTGCCAACGCTTGCCGTGACACGGGACCTCGGTTTTTAAGGTCTTATCCGAATGACCAGCAACTTTCACTCCAAAGTGCTGAGCAAATGGCGAAGGAACAGTTGCTACCTATTTTTTATCGACTTAGGTCAGTCGCGGCCAAGATTAGAACTCACGACCTCCCGATCACGGAGTGAGTGCTCTACCAACTGAGCTACCGTGAATGGTCCATAAATTATGAAGTTTTATTTCAGGTTTCATGTAATCATGAAATGGGAACAAATAGATACCAAAACTTAAAAAGATCATTTTATTTATTCAAAATACGATCGTTGTTGTTGAAATCAAGTGAATTACCTGTAAAATACGAATGAAAACGTGCAATGACATTATCAACATATACTTCTGGTATTTATAATAGTAGAACGATGATGATCGGAACTGAAAATTCCGGATTTTATTCACTTTCTATCTCTCGAAACCCCTCGATCTCTCGAACTTTTCTTGCGGTCCCTTGAACTTTGAGAGATCGAGAGTCACATGTAGAATGTATATTCTGCATTGATCAATACACAGTTTGGGTATTTATGTTTTCAGTGTACAAGAAGCATTGAATTCCGGAGAATCACTGCCAGTGTCAACATTAAACAGAGATCTTAGTGAGCAGGACGAATTCTCAGAAGTAAGTCAGTCAAGACCATCAGATTTTATTAGCTCTTCTGAGCCAAAGGCTCAAAGAGCTAATGCTATGGCCATTTGTGCAGTGTGCAGTGTGCGTAAACGTCTTAGAATATGGGCCATAACTCAAGAACCCCTCGGCCAATTATTGTCAAATTTGTCACAGGGTATCCTTGACCCAAGGGCTCTCGTTTATACTAAAACTAGGGTTGTGACCCTTAAACAACAGGAGATACTTAGGAAAATAGGAACAAAAGTACTGGTTGCTAAAAATTCTTCTTCTCAAGAACCACTGGGCAGATTATCACTAAACTTGCACAAAAGGATAAGGATATGTTGTAGATTAAAATTTGCACAGGGATTTACCCTGGGGCAAAGGGCGTGGTCTCAAGGTCACTTCAAAATTGACCAAAAATTACATTTTATTAAAATGTTGATATTTTGCTTACTATAAGGACTAGGATCATCAAATCTTGTCAGTTGATGCATCTAAGGACCTCATATCATGTTGACTCAAAAGTAGGTCACAGTGACTTACTTTTTAAATTTTGCGGCCATTCTTTTTCAAAATGATTTAGAGGCATATTTTAAACAATTTAAGGCCTATGATCATCAAACTTTGTCAGTTGATGTACCTTGGGTCCTCAAAGTACGTCAACTAAAAAGTAGGTCACCTAGACCTACTTTTTGAATTTTATGGCTAATCTTTTTCAAAACAATTAAGGTCATTAATTCGAATACTGAGAGGTTTAGAATCATTAGAATCTTGTAAGATGATGCATCTTGGGGCCATAAAACATATTTATTAAAAAATAGGTCACAGTGACTTACTTTTCAATTTATAAGACTATAATTAAATATTTTGGGTACTAATTGGCTAAGAATCATCAAACTTTGTTAGTTGATGCATCTTAAGTCTTTGGAGTAGGTCGATGGAAAAGTAGGTCACCATGACCTACTTTTGAAAATTTATGGCTTTAATTAAATATTTCAGGTAATAATTAGCTTAGAATCATCAAACTTTTTCAGTTGATGCATCTTGGGTCCTATAAGTATGTCATCTGAAAAGTAGGTCACTGTGACCTACTTTTGAAATTTATGGTTATAATTTTAAAAATATTTTAGGTATTAATTGGCTTAGAATCATCAAACTTAGTTGATACATCTTGGGTCCTCAGAGAATGACAAGTCACCATGACCAACTCTCAGGTACTAATTGGCTTAGAATCATCTTGGGTTCTCAGAGTTTTTCATCTAAAATGTAGGTCATGATGACCTACCTTTGGAATTTCAAGGGTTTATCTAAATAAACAGGGTACTTGGAGGCTTCAAATAGAAGTGATAAATTGTACAGTTTATCAGAAGAGCGATTCAAGACCCTTGGGCCTCTTGTTTTGTAGATTTTATAAATGCTATTTATAACAGTTTTTTGGACTCAAAAATGAAAATAAAGGTATGAATATTTCATTTGTTAAATAAATTCAAGAAATTGCATCAATCATGAAATTCATTCCTGTCATGATACAGTTCATTTATAATTTCTTTAGAAGGAAGAATTAGGAATTAAGAGGGGGAGACTTATCTGAGTATGATCTACTTTCAAAAATTTTTTTTCTCCGTAGAAAACTTTACCAATATATGCCTTTTTAGTCCTTGATTTTATGCTTTTGAATTGTAATATCTTGTTTATCAAGAAAAAAGGGGAAACCAATTTTTAAAGCAGATCAGTTTAGACAAACATTTTACGTGTATCAAGTCGGCAATTTTATCGTATGTGTTTTGGATAAGACAGTTCTTTAAAGGGAAAGTTAAGGAGGCCTGCCACACCAAAATTTTATATAACATATACTGGGTATTAATTTCATCATTGAAAGACCAATTAATATAACCTTTTCTTTTTTTTATTTGAATTTTTGTGGTATTTTTTTCCCAATAGAAATTGAATTCAAAATTGTTTTGATTGAAAATATGACACTTTGGAATTTAAAAAAAAAATGCTGTTAATTAATGGATAATGAAATATCCTATAAGAGCCAGATTGACATTTACGTTTTTAATGAAAAATTATGAATATAAAAAAACATTCTATGTGAATATTTTTAAATTGTTGGCTAAAAACTTCAAAGAAAATTTGAAATATAGAAAAGTAATTACATATAATATCAAACAATCATATTTTAAAAAGAAATTGAAATGATGAAATATAAGAAAAGTTGCAAATTTTTTAAATTTGCATAATTATGATTGAAATAAAATTGAACCCAATATATATATTAAAAACAAAAAAAAAACAAAAACAAGAGGCCCATGGGGCACAAAACTCACCTGAGTAATTATGGCCCTTCTGTTTTTCATCAACGGATTCCTTTTCCTATATATTCTAAAGTAAAACTTTGATCGCATATTATTTAATTATATATAATTAAATAATAACATAATTATCATAATGGCTGTTCTTGAGAAGAAGATTTTGAAAGATATTTCCAATGATATTTCCAATATATTCTTATGTAAACTTTGATCATTTGTTGTGGCCTCACCTCACCCCCAGGGGTCATGATTTGAATCTTCAAATCTACAATCTACATTACCTGAGGGTGTTTCTATATTAATATGACTAATAATGGCTTTGTTGTTCCTGAGAAGAAGATTTTTAAAGATATTTCTTAAAAATTCCCATGTCAAACTTTGATCCTCAGAATCTTTGATCCCCACTTCCTGTGAACAAACTTAAATCCCCTTAACCCAAGGATATTTTGTGGCAAGTAAGGTTGAAATTGGCCAAGTGGTTCTGGAGAAGTCAAAAATGTAAAAAGTTTAGAAGGACCACAGACAAAATGTGATCAGAAAAGCTCATTTGAGCTTTCATTTCAGGTGAGCTAAAACTAATGAGTGCAAAATGAATAAAAAATCAAATTACTTTCTATCTGATGCAGTTGACACAGAGAAATCAAATGTTAGATCAATTGATTTGGAAATCATATTACAGACAAGCAATCAAGGACATATTTGTGAATTTTGCCATTTCCACTTGATACATACCGGTATATGTTTTAATTAGAGATGTCATAAATCAGTCAATATTTTATAATGGGTTACTCAGACGATTTTCCGATCAAGTACCCGGATACTCGGTAAAAAATGTAAAATACAAATATGTTAATTTTATTGAGACAAATTTAACCCTGTTCAATCCCATCTATGTATTTTTAAGTTGATAATTCATGTGCATAAACAAATTTAAGAGCCGACCAAAAACTTTTCACGGTTTATAAAGTGATAAGGGGTATTTGCTGGTGTAGGTGATGCTAATTAGTGTATAAACATAGACAATACGTATTTCAATTACATTTTTTGATGAGATTTTGATAAACTCATGTACTTTGAAATACAATAAAATATACATCTGAGTAACCGAGTACTGATTTTAGTATTCAATACTCTGACATTTGATCGAGCTAGTACCTGCAGTTTACCAGGTACTCATTGACATCCCTAGTTATGATAAGTATATATTTTTTTAACACTTTTAAAATGTCAACCACTCTTCTTGACATGTTTAATTTGATATTTTTTTGTTATGCATTAATAACAGGATATTTAAACTTCAGAATTTTTGATTTCCAACCAAAATATTTTTTATATAAATTTTTGTCCTTGAGTAATGTGTGCTCAATACATTTAGGTTGAAATTTAATACAGCTGTGCTTTATTTTTCTCATTTAAATTTCAATCAAGCAGTGTGATATTTATTTGGGTTTATCTTTACATTTAAAGAATTAACTAAAATTTCAGACAATTCAACATAAGATTTTATAATCATAAAATCAAAAAAATAGAAGGGGAAAAAAATAGTGCCTTCAAAGGGATTCTTACGAGGGTGTTAAAAAAGTCACTTTTCATAGCATGTCAGCATCTTGATAGTGTATATAAGCTTATATCTAACTGACTGAACAAATCCTTGCAAACTTCACAAAACCTTGTATATGTATGATGTACGTAATTCATAACCATTAAGAAGAGTTATCCAGGTTGTCAGTTACATGTACAGTAACTGTAGTTTGTGATTTTCACCCAAATCTCCTGCTCTTTTCCCAACTTTTTTTTATGTTTGTGTGTTACAGGACTTGTTTGGACAGCACCGAGAACTGATCTGGACTTTTGAGAACATTCAGATGTTGATTGGAACAGATTTACCTATCTTTACACGTGGCACTAATTACCCATGTGTAAGTCTAAGATTAAGGTATGCAGTTTATTACAATTTTGGCACTAATTACCCATGTGTAAGTCTAAGATTAAGGTATGCAGTTTATTACAATTTTGGCACTAATTACCCATGTGTAAGTCTAAGATTAAGGTATGCAGTTTATTACAATTTTGGCACTAATTACCCATGTGTAAGTCTTAAGATTAAGGTATGCAGTTTGCTACAATTTAATTAAGTCAGAATTTATTTATATTATGGTTGGAATTCTGAAATATTAAGATCAGAAATTTGGCCATACTAGGGTGTAGGAATTTAACAGCTAGGGTTTTTTTTGTGTCACCAGCAGAGCAGATCGAGTGACGCTTAGGGATCACTTTACCTGGTGTCTGTCCGTCTGTCACACCTTATATCTCGATAACTGTAAGAGTTATGGAATTGATATTTTGCACATATATTGCTTAGCACTATGACTCTTATAAATTACCATGGTTACTGATCTCATGACCTTTGACCTTGTCCTTTAACCTACTTTTTAAAGTAGTTCACAGTGCTGATATACAGCATATTTTTTAAAGTTTAGAGCTAAGTCTATGCTATTTATCATGTGCACTATTTGACATAAAAAATTATGATAAATACCAGCATTACAATTCACTTGACCTTGACCTTTGACCTACTTTGCAAAAAATACCCCGTACAGTTAAATTTAACTTCTGACTTTGAATTTTGAGAGGCAGGGTTTTTAATAATTAATTATCATTTATACATGATTATGAGCTCATAATACTGTACTTTGAAACTGTATGATATTCAGTTACCACACAAACATATGTTTTTAAAATACGATAAAAATATATCGGGATTGGTATTTCACAATGGATCCTGTAGACTGACAATTGTAGTAAAGACGGACTAAAATCTCTTTTGGAGGATTGTTGGAAACATGTATTAATATAAAAACCCTGAAAATATCAATAGCTAATTATAAGTATAAAGCAAACAAATATACATTAGTACAATGTAATATTATTCAAGAATTTATGTACAAATTATTTTATAATGATAGATCATAAAACTTGCATGTTGTACAAATGTTCACACATTCATTTCCATTCAGAACTGTAAGAGTTATTCCCCTTACATTGATATGTATGTACAGTACTGTACATTTGGAATAGAGCTTTCATTATTAGAGGAACAGTTTACCAGGGTCGTCCCTAAGAAAAGAAATAGCAGGGACATATAAAAAAAATAGAAGGGGGTCTTGAGTTCTTCGCTTAACAGGGGTTTGGAGGAGAATAGCAGAGTAACCAGTGAATAACGTCATTAAAGGTGGGGAAATTCTCCAGCCTCCAAGTCATAGGGACAATCCTGGTACACAAATATATATACAATAATATGTATACAATAAATAGAAAAATATATATATATACATGTATATATACTTGATTGTGGTTCAGGGTTCTTTGAATATATAGACCACAATCAAAACAAGCATTCTCTGAGTATTTCAATACTGGTGACTTAGCAGCAAGTGTAATCTGTTTCCCCTTAAAAAATCAAAAAGCATGCTCATAATTTTCATCAAAAATCATTGAAGTGGAAAAAAATGCAAACTTGTTCTATAATTCATTATGACAGACTCACGTACCAAAAGTCGGCAATATGTAAGCATTTAGGAAAAAGATGTGTGGAAAACCAAGTGAGAAATCCGGTTCCCCTTAAAAAAAATTTTTACAAAGTTTTTATCCATCAAAAATCATTGAAGTGGAACAAAATTCAAACTTGAAAAATTCAAAACTTGAAAAAATTCAAACTTGGTCTGTAACTCATCAAGCTCAATATCTGCAAGTGTTAAGAAAAAATGCGGAAAACCTATTGGGACAGACTGACAGACAGAGGGACAGACTGGCAGACAGAAAGATGAGGAGGAAACCTATAGTCCCCTCCGGCTTCACCTGTAGGGGTCTAATAACAGGAGCCAATATACTGTAAGTGTACATAAATTGGCGTATTCAAAATTTAGCGCAGTCACTGGGCATGGAGTTGTTGGCTAAATCATGAATTAGCGCTATACATGTCCTTGCCATACATTGTATTTATAATTGATTTATTAGCGGTATTCATGAATTAGTGCATCATTGTCTGCGCCAATGCTGCTAAAATATGAAGCCCGCTTTTTTAAGTACACATACAGTATATTATATTCTATTAACACTAAATGTATTCTATATACACTTTTGTGAAATCATACTCAAAGAATTTATACTAATTTGCTTCATTTGATACCAACATATTGAACTTAGTACATCTAACTCAGTACATCTAACTCAGTACATCTTGATAAAATTACATGAAAAGTCAAAGATGAAGAATTATTATAAAGTATAGAATTGGAATTACGTAGTAATAGATAAAAGAAATAGACCTCAACATTACAGTCAGTTTCCTGACTTGTCAGAATAAGTATGAATAATCAAAATGTATACATGTAACTTTAATATGATACTATGATGGTGATTGACAATCCCAATGGTCAAGAACAATCAATCTACCCAAATTTGCGAAGAAATCAATGGGGAAACATCTCCAACCAATTGAAAGCATGGCTATTAGAAATTAATACCTTTATACATAAAAACATAAATAAAAAAATTAAAAACCAAATAGTGTAATATTTAATAAACGGTGTAATATTTAATAAACGGTGCATGTAAAATCATTAAAAAGAAATGCTGCACTGTGACACTGTCACAGTTCTTAAGTAATAAAAACTATGTATGTTAATATAAAGTCACTGAAAGAAATAATTATATTCACATATTGAAAAAAAAATATCACTCTATCACATATTGTTTGAGACGGCTTTGTACAGCCCAGAAATGTAGCATCATCTGTCATAGAAAATAAAGTTTACCTTCTTCTTCTCTGCTGGAGAGTATTGATAAAAAAGAATAGCTTGCCTCAATCATCTTTAACCTCCCTAAAGTCTAGTATTTTAAAAACATTTGTAAAAAGGACTAGTTTCCTTAAAAAGTCCTACTGAATTGTACTTTTTTTGGCACTAAGCTGTACAGGAATGTACATTCTGCTATAAGCTACATTATTATACATCATTATAATTATTCTATACAACACGTTATCTGATTGGTTCTAGATTATCACGTGACAGGGCCATAAAATTTCATATTTCCCTGTCGTTGTCATGCTTTTCATCATATTCAACCTCTTCGGAGACGTAATGCATTTTCCTGCAATAGTTATCGTTCGTTGAACAAAAACTCCTGAGAGAAGTTAGACGTCACAATAGCCTGGTTTACGTTGGACTTCTGTAAATTGTTTCAGTAACACTATACGTAAAAATTGAAAGTGAATTTAAGTACGGTGCAGAAATTTGAAAGTTTTCCTTGTTTCAGTATAATAAACAATTTATTGCATGAATGTTTGGGAAACATGAAGATTTATTCAGCCAAGAAATATCATATTCCCCTCGGGCGAAGCCCTCGGGGAATATGATTTTTCTTGGCTGAATAAATCTTCATAGTTCCCTCACAATCATGCAATATTTGTATATTATTTATCTTTCTCCCCAGGGATATGAACACCCCCATTAATGTTCTGACGGGACTGGACTATTGGCTGGATAACCTGATGTGTAACGTCCCAGAGGTGGCCATGTGCTTCCATTTAGATGGTATTGTACAGGTAAATTCTTTATTAGGATTTTTCCAAGTTTGCTTTTTTTTACGTAAAGTATTGAAAGATTAGCTCTAATTTTCTGAATGTTTATTTAGAGTTCAGTTTTAGGAATGTGTGACTATATCCGTATTAAAAGGAACCGTATCATTGTATATTGATTTTTCTTGTGTATCACACATCATGTTTCATTCTTGTTCTTTAAAAGTTTTTAAAAAACAAACATCTCATAATTTTTCATAAGTGTAATATTGTAAGGAACACTCGTATTTAGTCAACAAATTCTACCTCATTGAAATTCAAAATTTTATTTATTGTCTATAATTATTGAGAAACATCTCATATTTTGTTAAGCACTAAAATGGTGCAAATTCTAATTTGTAAGCTGCAAAAAAATCAAGAGAAAAAACAGGTATTCATGATTGCTGTATCGTAACTGCAATATACCAATATACTGTTATATCATTACACCCTTATTCAGTTTGTACCTTAAGTATCATTTATGGTCTTTTAATCATATGAAAAATCTTGACATTTTGAAAGAAGATAAATATTTACTCTGAAAATGTTATATATTTTACACTGATTTATTTTTTCCTTCATTTCACTCCTCCAAAAATAAATATTTTCTCAACTTATTTATTGATAAATAAGATGAAGAAAATAAGAATTGTTGCATTTCATTACATATCACATTTAATTTCATAAATTCAACATATAATTAACACAAAAACCAATTATCTCAATGTTAATTTTTCATAAAAACGAGGCAGGGGAAACCTCAAGGACACAAAGCAACCTTTAAGGACATTGGCAAGTCAGGTTTTTCCGGAGAAAAAAGGTTTAATACATGAATTTTTTTTTTACTTATAAAATAGTGATTGAGAGTGATCTCCCAAGTACCGGTAGAATTCTCTAAGCGGTGGAAACTAATAAAGCGTGTGTTACAGAGGTAAACAGAAGCACTTGTACTTCCTTTAACGGGTAGAATCATCTATACAGCAAGAAAGAAAAGTAGTAATGGCTTTGTTGCTCATTGTATTCAGGGGACAAAGAGCCAACAGGTCGTCTTTTACCATAGTTATGCTCAGTATGCTGGGGAGGGCAAAGATGTGACATATGCTGAAAGGTAGACCGACTGAGAACAGTTCTTAGGTCACGTGAAGGAAGCAGCATTTAGTAACTACGAATAAAAATTAAAAATAAATCCATGCCAATATTTTTATGACAATGTGTTTCAATCAATTCAGTCAATTACATGATAGAACAATCAACCAGTCTCTTGACCATTGTGAATAATATAATTATAGCTGTTAAGGGAACTCAAAAAAAAAAAGATAGGTGCCGGTATGTCCATTTCTTGTTTCTATATATACATTTTTAGCCAAAATATCTAGAAATCATAGGAAATGAAGATACAATAATGTATATAATACAAAAACTATATGAAATAAGTGGAGTTTGGAGAAATATTATGGTGAAAAATTGTGTTGGTCCCTTTTATCAACATTTTACATAGGAAATGCATTGAGAATTGTTAAAACACTGATTTGACAAAATCTGAAAAAGAAGGTTGGCTTGGTAGGTTAAACGATCCAGAATATAGCCTGTTTAGTACAATTAAACCTACTCAAGAGTTCTTGAAAAATTCTATTCAATAACCAGGAACCTTGCCAATGTCCTTAATGGTTTGTAACAAACATAGTATTCCTTGGTTCTATCTATTTATACTGAGTGTGAAAGCTGAAGTACCTATATATATATAGTACTAGTGTGAGGATACGAAAATTTACAGAAACTACCAAAACTAAAAATGTACAGAAATAAATTTTGAGAAATGTGAATCCCATGCATGAATTGTGAATGCCATGCATGAAACTTTGCAGTTGGATGTGAGTAATTTAGCTTCTTGTAATTGATAGAAATATGAACTTATAAAGACCGAGGATATTCCTAACCTTAAGGACTCCGAGTTTGACCCTCATATGGTGACGGACATTGCCTGCAATATATTATCTTTCCTGAAATCGAATGCCACAAAGGAGGGGCACACCTACTGGTTATACAAAGGTCAGTTTATTCAAATAAAAGGGACAAATTAAAGTGTTACTGAAGTGCAATATTGAAGCTTATGTACATGAACTTCTTTAAATGCTATTATTTTTTCCTGTTGTTATAATAATAATAATCAGTGAGATTGACCGTTGTTGCCAGGGGTTATATCTGCAATTCTAACAGTTGTCACTGAGGCTTGCATACAAATGAGCTGGTACATGATGGCAGAAATTTCTGTCCAATTTACCAAGTTTAGATAAACTCTACATATGATTTAAGGTAGTAGAATTAGTCCCATGCAGAATTATTATATTTTTAAGGAGTGGACGATGATGTGGTCAAGCTATATGACCTGACCTCTTTAGCGGACAGTCAGGAGGATCAGTCTAACCCATTCACCGTCCCCCTCGGCAGACTACTGTATCGTGTAGCCTGCAACATGTGGAGAAACGGAAACAAAAGTAGAAGAAGAATCCGACTGCTATTAGAAAACTGCTTACTGCTGTTAGATGAAGAGAAACATTCTCAGGTTTGTTCATGATTTGGTTGGGGAAGAAAGTAAAGTTTTCAGTATACTCTCTCAAATTCTTTGTTTGCCCTATGTCATACATCTTGTAATGTTGTTGTATTTGATATGAGATGTGTGAATCATTTGCAGGATTGCACTACAAAATTAGGTCTATAAACAGATGATGCATGTTTTTTGGACTATTCATCTCTGTCAGAAATTTTATTTCTTTGATATAGACCTAAGATTTGATAGACCTTGACATAAGTAAATGCAAAACATGTACCTATATTTTGGATAACATATCTTGATCTGTATCTTACATAGGTAGATACAGTAAAACTTGTTTAGTATGAACATGGATATAGTGAATTTACGGATATAGCGAAGTTTTTTGCCATCCCTGGCAAAATTCCTAACAATTCCTTGTAAAATTTTACAGCTATAATGAACTTGTATACAGTGAATTTACGGTTATACGAATTAATTTTGTGTCCCCTAAAAGTTAAAAATAACGAAATGTTTATCCTTTAAAGCAAATATTCAAAGATTTCAATTTTTTAAGTATTGAACTGATATTAACTTTGGTAATATTCATATTTGAAACTCAATTCATCCGAACACTGTTGAACTGCAAGGTAAATTATGTATTTTATACTTCCCTTAATACAATTGATAGTCATACTTGAAGGAAAAAATCTGTATTGCAAATTCGCTATGTATACTTTAATGAATTCGTTATATGGATATAATGATTACGGATATAGTGAAGTAAATTTGCAGGTCCCAAGAACTTCTCTACAACTGAGTTTTACTGTATTTTCAGACATCACAATGGGAATTGACCATTTGAATATGAAATCGGTGAATGAATAAAGTTTATGTTTGTGTAGAATGGCCATTTCTAATTACCTTCAGTAGTGTTTTATATCCTCTTTGATAAGAGTAATAGGATGAGATATTGAGATGAAATACCATGACTAGGATTAACCTAAACCGTGACTGCACAATTTTTAAATTAAAGCATGTTTATCTCTTTCATGGATGACTAGCTCAGATCATCTTCAACTTAACAATGCTCATCAGGAGTCTTTCAAACTTTATTACAGTAACTGTTCTAGTTTTCTTTACAGCCATAATATGTATCTACAGAGTGCCACTACAACTGGAAATGACCTTAAATGACCTTAGATTTTGACATTGACCTTTGTAATATGTTTCTCTCACTTGAGGATGACCTGATTTGTCCAATCAAGCATCAGACTCCATTCTCATATTTTAGCTCCCATCTTTAAAATATAGTCACCCCTACTATAAAAATACACAGGAGAGGTATCTAAAAATAGAAAATTTGCTACCACCAATTTTGATTGGACCCCCACATTTTAAACGTATCATTTTTAACTTAATTTTTTCTAGATATTTTGTGTATTTAGTACTCCATATGTCTCCTATCTATCTCCTTTATAATGACCAAATAAACATACCCATTTATGTTGTGGTAACAAGGTATTTCAAATCCAATACACACACTTTTCTCTTGAAAGAGGCACCTCAGGGGTAGTGTCAAGAGAGTTAACTGGGGAGGATTTATAGATCTAACAAATTCAACAATAGTTTTACTACTACTGTTCAGTGATCTCATTTTTATACCCCCTACAAATGAAATTTGGGGGGGAGGAGGGATACGAATCATCACTTGTCCTTCTGTCCATCCATCCATCTGTCTTAACAGTCTTGTCCAGGCTACATCTTTTTAATGGAGAATCACTGGAAGCTCATACATGGTACATAGGTTGCTTATGACCCACTCATGTGTCATGATGTTGACCCAAGGTCATTCTAGCAAGTTCAAGGTTATGGACAGAAAATTTAAAAATTGTCTGGGTTATAACTTTGTAATGGAAAATCACTGGAAGTGCATACTTGGTATAAAGATTGCTTTAGATCCAAGGGTGTCTCTTGACCTTGGCCCAAGATCATTCTGGCAAGTTCAAGTTCACTGGCAGAAAAAGTATAAAATGCTTGTCATAATTTTAATGGAGAATCAGTGGAAGGTCATACTTGGTATAGGAATTGATCTTATCCCAGTGATGTGTCATGACTTTGACATATGGTTGTTTTGGCAAGTTCAAGGTCACTGGCAGAAAAAATAAAAAAATGCTTGTCAGGGCTATAACTTTGTAATGGAAAGTATTTCAGAGCTCATACTTGATACAGAGATTGTTTATGATCTAAGGGTATGTCATGACCTTTACTCAAGTTCATTTTAGCAAGTTCAAGGTCACTGGTGTAAAAAAGTGTAAAATTTGTAACATGTCTATAATTTTCTAATGGAGAAACACTGCATGTCCATATTTCACTGAAAAATTTCTAATGACCAGAGGATTTGTCATTGTTTTGTAACCAACTTGAAGGTTTTTTGGCAAGTTCAAGGTCACATTTACAAAATTTGAATTGGCACTTTAAAAATTTGCGGCTGGAGGGGGTATTATTTTGTGAGCTTGCACACAGTACCTCTTGTATAGTGTAGGTGAAGCATTTGATATGTATATGTTTCACTGAATTGTTAGCTCACCTGAGCCAAAGGCTTAAGTGAGCTATCCTGATCAAAGTCTGACCATTGTCTGTGGTTGTTACTGTTGTCATTAGGGCTTTATCAATATATCGATATGTATCGATATTCAAGAATGTATCGTATTGAAAAAATAACTTCCAATACATATTGGGCAGGCAGTTTTTCTTATAATTCTGTGAAAAAGCTGGGAATTTCAATCACCAAAGATTATATTTAACTGTTTTTAATTAAAACTGATCAATAATGATATAAACATTAATAAGGAGATAGCACATAATAAATATGTATTACAAAATACATTGACAATTATATTTTAACATGTTGGTTTTACAGTCGTTAAAAAGTTTGAATTTGAAGTGTATTTTGTAATGACAGTGAGACAAGAACTTAGAAATGGGTTATAAAACACTCAGTTTTTATAAAATGTATGTATTAAATGATTTAAAAGACTTTTTTGATAGACTTGTTAAAGAATCCAATATTTCTCATATCGCTTTATAAAATGTTGTATCGAAATTTTTTGCTCAATACACAGCCCTATAGTTGTCATCATTATTTTCATCATCATAAATGTTTCACATTTTCATTTTCTCCAGAAACACTGGCCAAATTTAAATCAAATTTGGCACAGAGTATCCATGAGTGAAGGTGATTGAGGTTTGTTCAAATAAAGGGTCATGGGTTCTTGAAAGCTAGGGCAGATAATCAAGAAAGGCAAAAATAGGGTGAGTGTCATAAAAAATTCTTTTCAAGAACCACCGGGCCAAAAAGATAAAACTTAAAGTAAAAGTTTCCTGAGAAAATGTAGATTCAGATTTGTTAAATCTTGCCTCTTTGAAAATCTACTTCCCAAGAACAGCAGGACCTATGATTAGTGATATTAGTATCCAAGCATCCCCAGGTATTGCAGATTAAAGTTTGTTCAAATCATGGTCCTTAGGGGTAGGATGAGGCCCCAATAGGGGATCAAAGTTTTACATGGGTATATATGTTTAAATAAAATAAAAAATATGTTTAAAAACCTTCCTCTCAAGTATAGCAGGACCATAGTTGGTGATAATTACCAGTATATCCAAGCATCCCCAGGTATTTCAAATTTATGTTTGTTCAAATCATGGCTCAGGTGTATGGTGTGCCCCAAAAGGGGATGAAAGCATGAGATGGGAATTTATAGGAAAATATTTTTAAAAATTTTCTTCTCAAGTATAGCAGAGACCATGATGATTGATATTTATATGAAAGCATCTTCAGATATGGCAGATTCTAGTTTGTTCAAAACATTGCCCTAAGAAATAGGGTTTGACCACAGAAGGGTAACAATGCTATACATGGAAAAAATTGTATAGAATTTTCCTTACATGAACAGTAGAGCCAAGATGATTGACATTGTCAGGTCATATAGATTAAAGTTTTTGACCCCTAGGGTAGAGTGGGGCCCACAGTAGAGAAGCAAACAAAAAATTTTTTAAAAATATCTTGTAAAAAAAATTGTGGTCATGATTATTTATTTTAATATGCAAGCATCTTCAGGTAGTGTAGATTCTAGTTTGTTCAAATCATGGCCCTTGGCGCTAGAGTGTGGACAATGTTCCAAAGAAAAACAGGGCCAAGGTGACTCAAGTGAGCATTGAGATCCATGGACCTCTTGTTATGTATAAATTCTCTTTTATATCAATCTCCAAGACAATCATAACAAAATATAATTATGAACAAAAGACTGCTTGTTTGGCAGGTTTTTTTAAAAACAATTTGAAGTCTTATTAACACTTGTTATGAGTATTAATAAATGATTAATGGCTCTGCTCTGCATGAAAATGTTAAAAAATTTACTGTAGCTGAAAGTGATAATATATAGATATATAAATATATATTGAAGCTAACTGATTTGCAAAACATAATAAATTTAACAAACACATTAATTTTAAAATATATTAAACAAATATATAATAATCTTCTTTTTAAGGGTATAATAAGATAGATGTATCATTGTCTTTGATGAGAAAAAAAAATCATTAGCCACTTTATTTGATTTTATTGAAATTTCAACACATTTAAAATATTTTATTTTCCATCAGTGCAATGTCAACATATGTATTGTTTGATGTACAAACAATTATACAGATAATACCCTATTGTTTCTGAAAGGAAAACATTCAGTAAATTAATTTAGAAAGCTCTTAATGTAACAAAAAATACAAGTTAAGATTAAAAATTTATTTTCAATTAATATTGAAGATGATTCGTTAAATAACAAAATTTTAAATGATTTGTGTATTTGAACAAATGCAGTGATGTACATGTATTATATGCATGAATCATGGCTGATTCAGTTAATCATGTCTTTGATTAAACTGTTACCCAATGAATGCATTTTTGACACAAAATATCATGAAATAAATGGCTGATAGATGGCGGAGGGTGCTTAGGATTTTTCTACAAACAAGTCTGTAGAATTAATTAAGCAGTGTGCAGTCAAAACATGGGTGTGGAAAGTGAATTTCTTAATGATGTTGAGTTACATGGAGTTGTCTGTGTGTGACAAGTGACCATCTGACATTATGCAATTATATCACAGGCTTCTAGGGTGACATACTGAAGGCATCGGGTGACACAATCCAGGGCTTTTCTATCACCAAGAGTCAAATATTCTGATATATAGTCACCTGAGAAGCCATGTGGTATATATTATATAACATTTTTGAAAATAAAAAAAAATATCAAAGTCATAAAATTTTAAACAAATAATCCAAAGATGTTTTCATGACGTTTTGAACTATGCTCCAATCGAGTCCATTGTTTATGTTTGCTTTGCAACTGATGTCTTTAAATCTCAAACACAAACAACCATGTGTAGCATAAAAGCACGTGATAGTGATCGGTTTGGTGTTATAACTGTTTCCATCATGTGTTATAACTGTTTCCATCATGTGTTATAACTGTTTCGGGCATGTTTTATAACTGTTTCTGGTGTGATCTAGCATTCTTCAGGGAAGTCCTCTATGTGACCTCTAAAATTTAGTGCCAGCTGGCACCTTATCAAAACATTTTAGTTGCCAAAGCAAATTTTTTGTCGCCATGCAAAATTTTTCTTAGGCGCCAACTTTAAAAGCTGATACATGTATTGGTTAATCTAGGGTCTCATGGGGGTTGTCACAGGACGGAGTGTTTAATGCCCCTACCACTTTTGAGAGTATCTTTGTGCCCCCCACTCCCTGGTTGGAATAATTATGTAGGAGATACAGTAACTAAGAAAAGGGCAAACTAGAATTGTATAAAGACTGTTTTAGCTTTTCAAATATATTATACCAGACCCCCCCCCCCCCCCCCCCACCACCACCACCAAAACATTTATATACTATTAATAGTAAATATTACTGGGACCATGGACAGACCTTGACCTAGCTATTCCAGGTTCTCAACATATCTAATGTTGAGATACCAAAGTTTACTTTTACTTTTGAAAAACTTAAACATTAATTGTCCAGTGGTTGGTGCGCAGACTTTCATATTTCACATATGTTTTTCTTGTGACCAAACTTTTTTGGGTATAAACATTTTAACCTTTAACTTTGTCCTTCGAGTTTGACCTACTTTTGAAAATTTAAACCTGGACCATTGAATGGCTGCTGCAAGGGCTTTCATATTTCACAGGTGTATTCCTTATGATAAGACCTCTCTTTGGGTTCCAACATTTTTGATCTGTTGATTTTGACCTTTGAGTTTGACTTGCATTTGAGAAACTTTATCCTTCATCACAAGCTGCCATATGGGGGATATCTGTGTGTCACAAACAATCTTGTTTGTAATTGAAAATAGAAGGAGGTGCTGAAAATCCCACTCTGGGCACTTGGTGTGCATTGTGTCCTTAGACAAGGCACTTTATCTGCATTGTCTCAGTCCACCCAGCTGCTACGTGTATGGGCACTGTCTTAGGCTGGGACTTACTGTAACTATGGGCACTGGCTTAGGCTGGGACTTGCTGTAACCTGCTATGGGCACTGGCTTAGGCTGGGACTTACTGTAACCTGCTATGGGCACTGGCTTAGGCTGGGACTTACTTTAACCTGCTATGGACTTGTGGTCCATCCAGGGGGAGTCAATGACTTTCATCGGAGAGAAACTGGGTATAAATGTCAGCTCTGTTAGCTTTTTATCTTGGAGAAGGCTCTAACTTAACTCATTGTTGACTCTTAGTTTAAAAACTGGTATATGATTTTCAGGAACTTGCTTCTGCCCCAGTTCTTCACTTTAAATAGAAGGCGATAAAGAGCTACATGTAGTTTTCATTTATCAACTAGAAATTTAAATTTATACTTTGCAATCCTCCCATATCATCTTTTGTAAATTCAGGGTAAAATTAGGAGAAAGTGGGTAATGAAATTCCTTGCAGGGTTGTTTAACTTTAATGAATAGAAATAAGAATAAACTTAATAGTCTAAAATATAGAGACCATATGCAAGATTTAGTGACTAGATCAAATTTATGCTGATTATAAATTTATTTCAGTTAGGCCATCTTAAAAAAATATGTTTGCTTGCCCTCTCCCGACTGAGGATAAAAAAAATTGGGTAGGTAGGTATGGAAAAAAAAAATTTATTCAAAAACACCTGCGAGTGTGAAGTTAAAATAGTTATTAATGAATAAAAAAAATAATTGTTTCCTGGAAGTCAAAAAACAAGTTTTGAGTCAGGCCGTTTTTAGTCAGTCGGTTGGGAGAGGGCAACCAAATAATTTTTAAAGATGGCCCTACTCAGTTTTATACATTTTATAATCAAGAATTTTGGCCATGTCCAATATCTGCAGGATTTTGTGCCTGAACCTTTGCAAAAATTAAAATTGTGGAAATCTGAATGCTAAAAATGTTCCTTAAATGGACAAAACACAAATTTAAAGTTATTGAATGCCCATTATACATTGAAAGTTTTCTCATTGAATCAATTCTGTTTGTAGATATGTACATCAGCCCACTACCTTCTTTCTGATGTGGTAGTGCCAGATGCCATTATAGAAGATGGCTGGAAAGACACCACTGAGAAAGACTCTGATGGAGAGGAAACTAATTCCCATTCTAAACAGGTAGGCTGGGGTGAAAAACACAGTCTGAACAGGTAAATAGGACACCACATTCTGAACAGGTAAATAGGAGGACACAACATTCTGAACAGGTAAATAGGAGGACACTACATACTGAACAGGTAAATAGGAGGACACAACATTCTGAACAGATAAATAGGAGAACACAACATTTTGAACAGGTAAATAGGAGGACACCACATTCTGAACAGGTAAATAGGAGGACACCACATTCTGAGCAGGTAAATAGGACACTACATTCTGAACACGAATTTAGGAAAGAAACAATGCTATGAACAAGAACTAGGGTTGAAACTACATTTTAAATAGGAGATTAAGGGTAAATAAACATGTTCTACTGTACTACATGTACATGTATAACATGTTAGGTTATTGAGGAAGCAACCAGATTTGGAATTCACTTGTCCCTTGGGACCAGGGTTTGGGTTCTGTGGTTAATTATAATGCTAATTTGGTCATCTTTGAAAATCTTTACTCAGGAGTATCAAGCATTCCAGGCAAACTGAATGGTATTTATTACAGTAGGCAGCTAATCCACTACCATAATTGTGAAATTCTTGGGTTTAGACCCCGGGGTGGGGAAAAGTAGATTTATATTTTGAAAAAATATTATACAATGTATATTTGTAAGTCTTATTTATTCCTGGACATAGAAGGCCAACTACCAGTATATATGTGAAAGCTGCAGCTAGGTTCCTTTGCCAAATCATGAAATTTGTGATCCATGGGCTTAGGTCCTAGGCTGGGACTTAGTTGACCATATTATTTTTCAAATCAGCTGTAATACTGGTAATCATTTATCTCATTTTACAGTCAGATAATTCCGACATAGAAGATGAACAGTTTACATCGGTAACATTAAAATCACTGTGTGATCAGAATAGCTACAGAAAACAGGCAAGCCCGACTAAGAGCACGCCAGTGGTGACTGAGGTCAAGAGTTCACAGGTGGTGGCTGATGTCACAGAGAGGTGTCTGGATGCTGTTAAACATACCGCAAGGGTAAGTTTTAACTCAATGTCTATTTATATTGCTAGTTGACAGGTCATTAGCATTGCAGTATAAAGTCTAGCTGATTTTGTGCTCTGTCAGTAGTCTGAATGGTGACCAAGTGATGGTGAGTGAAGGATGTGGTATATACCTACAGTGTAATTATTGGCTAAGAGAACAAAACAAGTTCATTGTCTCCTAAGACAGCAAATATTTCCTGAGTCCTGAGACACAGCTGAGGTTGTTGAGTTGCAGTGGAAAGAGACAATAAACTTGCTTATTGTCCAAATAGTCAGTAAATAGGTGTTTTATTACACTGAAGCAGACTCTACTTTAATATGTCACAATCCAGATTAAACCAGAAGATTTTGGAGAAGATTCACAGGGAAAATGGAATGCTGCGATGACTATTGCGATGACTAGTTCTATGACTGTTTCACTTTGGGCAAATAGCACAAAAAACTATTTGACGGTTGTGGCTGTTTAGAAAAAAATAGCAGATTTATTTATTATATTTTTATATAGAAAAAAATCATAAAGGTGTAATAATTTACTTTATTTTAAGATTTGAAATATGCAGTCTGTATGAATCAATGATTAATCAATTCATATAGTGAATGAAGGAGTGAGAAAGTGAATGCTAAGATAAAAATCTTGAATGTGTCTTATTAAATATAGGATCTCCCATGGTTTGTGGTTAGATATGATTTTTATCCAACAAGTTGCGTTTTTTATCCCTGAGCACATTTGGATATTTTACTAGAAAATGATGTTAATGGTAACCTAACAACAAAACTTTATGAAAAATGTGATGACTTCAATTTTTCTATCGTCAACTTCCCTTACTTATTTAGCATGTGGAGTTTGTCTCCCAGTTGATTTAATGCACAAGAGCATGTTCTATGTATGAACAAATTTTTAAATGAGGCAAACTATTGACAAAAAGTTGATGAAACAAGGATATCAACAGTTTCGTTTAAAGTCAGCGTTTTGCAAGTTCTATGGTCGATACAATGACCTTGTCAGCAGGTACAATCTATCATGAAGTCTAATGTTGACTGACGTTTTTCATACTAATTTTTAGGACATTATTTACACACTGAAATATTTACATTTGCTGTGTTTTTCCACTTAACCAACCATGAAATTGATGTAAATGCCATTTTCAGGTTGAAATATACATGGAGAAACTCGCGCTAAATGACGTTACAATGAGGCTAGAGAGATGTTTGTAAAAATATAACGATATAGGGCAGCAAGAAATTCAAATATATTTTTGGTGCTTTTTTAACATTTTATAAAATGTAAATCTAGGAAATATTTTTAAGTTTAGTGTGAATTATTGGTGTATAAATCACACAGACTTGCATGTGTATTTACATGAAGTGCTAGTGCGCTTCATGAAATATGCATATGTGACAATAATACCAATACCTTGATCACACAAAACTTCAAAACTTCAAAACATTCTTTAATTATATCACTGCATTTTGTTGGGCTGTCTGCAATAAACAGACTGTACATAAAATATATAAAATTAAAACAATATATTAACCATGATCTGAGTTATAATAAAATTGTGTTTTTTTCCCCATTTGTTTTTTATGAATTTGATTAATGAGATAAAATGTTCAAGGAAAATCAGGTCTAGTAAGGGCCTTTATTATAGAGGCTGCAGAGTGTTGCTCTGTGTTTTTTCTTAGTGTATATATAGATTCTTTTTTTATGCCCCCGGATCGAAAGATCCCGGGGGTATATTGTTTTTGTCCTGTCTGTCTGTTTGTCTGTTTATCTGTTTGTCTGTTTGTCTGTCTGTCTGTTGTCAACTTTTACCTTGCCCATAACTTTTGATTGGTTGGAGCTATGACTTTCATATTTCACATGTGTATTCCTTGTGACAAGACCTTTCTTTGGGTAACATGACCTTTTGACCTTGACCTTGGAGTTTGACCCACTTTTGCAAAATTTTATGAGACTTTAACCTTCACCATAACTTCTGAAAAGTTGGTGCTTGGGGTTTCAAACTTCACATGTGTATTCTTTGTGACAAGGCCTTCCTTTGGATACCAACAACTTTGACCTTTTGACCTTGACCTTGGAGTTTGACGTACTTTTGAAAAACTTTAACCTTGGCCATAACTTTTGAATGGTTGGTGCTTGGGGTTTCAAACTTCACAAGTGTATTCCTTGTGACAAGACATTCCTCTGTATATCAACCTCTTTGACCCTTTGACATTGACCTTGGAGTTTGACCTACTTTTGAAAAACTTTAACCTTGGCCATAACTTTTGAATGGTTGGATCTAGGGCTTTCATACTTCACATATGTAATCCTTGTGACAAGATCTTTTTTGGATACCTACCACTTTGACCCTTTGATCTTGACATAGGAGTTTGACCTACTTTTGAAAAACTTTAACCTCGGCAAAAACTTTTGAATGGTTGGTGCTAGGGCTTTCATACTTCACATATGTAATCCATGTGACAAGACCTTCCTTTGGATACCAACAACTTTGACCTTGACCTTGACGTTTTACTTACTTTTCAAAAAAATTTAACCTTCGCCATAACTTTTGAACAGTTGCAGCTAGGGCTTTCAAATTTCACAGGTATATTCCTCGAGACAAGACCTTTCTTTGGGTACCAACATTTTTTATGTTTTGGACTGGATTTTTGGGAGTTAAACTTTGGTCCAAAACTCTATATCTGACTTATACACGAGTTATAAAAAGATTGGTATTTAAGCAGGTCAATCCCTCAAATTTAAACTTAAGAAATACAACCGACTTATAGGCGGACCGACTTATAGGCGAGTATCTACGGTAATGTGTATTGTATTCAAATATATTTCAGGGATTACTGTGTCTAGATAAAGACTTCACCATACAGATACGAAAAAACAAAAACATAGTGGAGGAACAAATGACCTGTAACAAAGATACAGCAATTCCTCTGCACTACGAACCCCTCCAGAAATCAGCTCCACCCCATAACGACACAGAGCCTCCCCTACATGACAGGGATCAGTCCGTGGTGGAAACAGAGAGTTCCCTCACCTGGCATCGCACCCTCAAGGTCCTCCTGCTGAAGAAAGCCGCCGTAGCATTGTACACACTGGCCAGAGGAGCTGCAGTAGAATACCAGGCTGGAAAAAGTCTACGTCTCCTGAAAATTTCACTTCAGTGTTTTGGTTAGTGTATTCTATTCAGAGTGTGTTTGCAATGACCACCATCTGTCCTTCTTTTTGTTTGGCCATTTAACATTTAGTTCATTTTTCAAAGAAGCAGTTGAAGATAATTTCATCCAAAGTCATCCAAATTCATGAATAGGTACAAATTTGGTGAAAGAATTTCAGCTTTATTAGACTTTTATGATTTTGGTCATTCTTATGACCTTGACTTTTCCTAAATTCTATACAGCTTCATGTACAAACACAAGGAGAGTATTTTTAAAGACTGCTAGAATTCTGTGATCTTGAACTTTCCTTTCAGCATAATTGTTATAGTACCTAGTAGCTCACATTTGCCTATTTGTTATGAAGAACTTAATCATGTTAAAACCAACTGAAGACAGATGGGCAGTACATTTTCACAAATTTTGACAAACTTCATTTTTTTCGTTTCAGTAAAATTTTTTACCCTCCCTATATAAGCTTAATTGACACCACATATCCTGAATTTTTCATTTAGATCATTTTCATGAATATTTGTATATGATATAATTACTATTACTGAATATAAATATACATAAAGTTTTACTGAAGCAATTATCTGCTATGTAAGATATGAGTTTTTTTTTCAATTTGTAGATGCCATGAAAATTCTCCTGCCTGAGAAAGCAACAGAGAACAGTGAATTGTTATGTGGGATGCTGGGTCTGGCTGGAGATGTTCTGCTACTTTGTGTTCACCAGAATCTCAGTCTGCACTCAGTGATGGAGGCAATGTTTAACTACTCTGAGGATGAAATCAGTCTATCTGAAAGTGTGTCCAGGGAACTGGAAAGTTTTGGTAGGTTAGGCTGTCAAAGGGGGGTCCTGTAGGGATCTATAATTGATCTAAAATACATGTATGAGAAAGATACAATAGGTTCCATAACATGGGCTCATTAGCCCTAAATTTTTCTAAAATTGAGTTTGGTAGAAAATTGGAATCTAATTGGCATATTAAATCAATTATTTATCAGCCTGATTTCACAACATATTACCCTCATCTGGATTGTGTCATTACATTTAAAGCACATCTAATATTCTTTTAAGCAACCAATTTTTTTCAATAAAATGAGGTGAAAGGTAGTCAAGATAATTGTAGCTAGATTTTAGGTCACCTGAGTGATACAGGTGATGTATTGCAATCTCATTTTTTGTCCATCTTCATTCATTGGTTTTAAACTTTTGAACAATTTCAGCCTCCTGTCTGAAATGTTTCAACCAATTTTACAATATGTACAGTACATATAGCATCTGTGGGTGAAGGGGAACAACTTACAACTTACTTTCTGGGATCTTGAGAAATACAGCTAAAAAGATTAAAATTGTGCAGTTATTAAAGTTTTCTTCTCTACTCCAGGCATTTGACGTGCAAACTTTCAGTTATACTTTTACCGAAATAATTAAATATGACTCCTGGGCCCAGGGTTCAGGCCCTAGGATAGTGCACAATTGGTCATTATTATATACATATAAATTGAAAAGTTATTTTATCTTTAAAAGTCTTCATCTATACACCAGGGACCCGTTTTACAAAAGAACTTACGACTAAAGACCAAAAACTAAAAGTTGCTTGTAAAATCTTACAATACCTATGTTTCTATTAAAAATTGTTAGCATAAAAATATCTTCCTAAATTCTTTTCAAAAAGATTAAAACCATTTTCAAAATAATGTAAAAATGAAAGTTATTTGCATAAAAACATTTTGAACTTAGTCCTAAGTCGCAGGGCCCTGAGCATTTAACAGACACGGTTTTTGCATTATCATGATTATAATGAACAGCTAGCCCTTTACCAAAATTGTAAAATTTATGTAGAGGTAACAAAAATGAAATATTGAAAATTCCTTATAACTCTGAAAACATCCTTTCTCTTGGACATCCAGCAAGCAAACTGTTATATGGTGATAATTAATAATCGCATAGATATTGATTGTAAAATTCATGTCAAAGATTTAGGACTGAGGACCCAAGGTGGTGCTAAGTTGGTCATATATATTGGAAAGGCTTCTCTTCTGCTGGACATCTAGTATGCAACCTCTAACCATGATAATGAGAAGATAGCCCTCAGCCAAACTTGTTCAATTTTATGTCCCATGAGTTCAGACTCCAGGTTGAGGCTGTGATCATTATTATCCCCTCACAATGAAGTTGGAGGGAATATAGTAATGTACTTTTGTGAGTGTGTCTGGGGGAGGGGGATGAGTGGATTAGTGAGTGCATTTTACGCAAGTAATAATTTATATCAGGATTGATGTACTGTTCTTTTAGAAGGAGTTGATCTACTTTGTTGTGACCTTGTTCATTTTAACTTTGAAATTCTCTCTTTGGTGACATTAAGCAGGCAATTACAAGAAGCAGTTTATTTTTGACAAAAATTATGTAATTGTTTTCCCATGGGCCTAGGGGTTAGACCCTGGATGGTGATAAGTTAATCATTTATTGCAAATGCATTAAACTTTTACAATGTGCTCTTGAACATTAAAGCTAGTAAAAACTGTATACATAAAGACAATGGACTTTGAGCCCTTGACCAAATTGTGTGAAATTTTGTGTCCCCACTGTACAGTACTAAGGTCTTGGTTAACTTGATCCCATTTTGAAAATAAATCATGTTGAAAAATCTTCTATACTCCTGAGCACCTAAGAAACAAACTTATTGCAATGTAATTATGAATATAGAGTCTATTTACAAATTGTAAATACAGTAAAACATGCTTAGAGTGAACACGCTTATAATGAATTGACACTTATAGTGAAGTGATTTTCAATCGATCCCTGTAACTTTAAACTGTGTTGTAAACTTAACAGATATAACAAATTATGCTTATAATGAAGCAAAATCGTCTGTCCCTGGTACTTAGTTATAAGGGTGTTTTACTGTATTTCACATTGATCCAGACTTCTAGGTGGGGCTGAGTTGGTCATATCTGACTGAAAGTCAGTTGACTGTCAAGGCCTACATGTATGAGCCTCATTTCTTACATGACAGAGAGTCAAAGAAAAGAGATACTTTGCAGTAAATGGAGAAAAAATCATCAAAAACAATCCTGAAATGTCCAAATATGTGTGTTCTTATTTGTATAGAAATTTTCCTGTATGAATTAGAAATGTTACTGGATGGAATGATTTGTTTGCTTTGCAAATTTATTTAAAGTTATCTTTCTAAAAACCTACATATTATTTTTTCAGAGTATGATTGGGTGTTTGAGCTTAAAATAGGAGACATTGAAGGTTGTTTAAACCAGTGCTGTAAGTGTTACCAGGAAGCTCTGAATGTTCTCAAATCATCAGAGAATGATGACAAACCTGATACTGCGATATCCCTACAGAAACGCTTTGCCAACATTAAAAATGAGCTAGGTGTGTGGTATATGAACCAGGCCCAGATCTGTCTTCAAAAAGATGGTAGGTATAAACTTTTCTACATTGTATAGTAGTTTTACAAGTGAATAATGGCTCCCCAATCATGATAAGGAATTTATTCAAATTAGGCTGTATTTTTAGCTCACCTCGACGAAGTCGAGATGAGCTTATGCTATACCCCCGGTGTCGGCGTCGGCGTCGGTGTCGGCGTCGGCGTTAGCGTCGGCGTCCCAGGTTAAAGTTTTAGGAGCAAGTCCCATTCCCAAGTAACTATAAGCCCTACCTGGACCAAACTTGCATGGATGATGCATCTAGGGATGGACACTACCACACTTGCTTCGGATGCTGGATCTGACCTAGATTTTCCAGATGAGTGACCAGGTTAAAGTTTTAGGAGCAGGTCCATTCCCAAGTAACTATAAGCCCTACCTTGACCAAACTTGCATGGATGATGCATCTAGGGATGGACACTACCACACTTGCTTCGGATGCTGGATCTGATGTAGATTTTCCAGATGAGTGACCAGGTTAAAGTTTTAGGAGCAGGTCCATTCCCAAGTAACTATAAGCCCTACCTGGACCAAACTTGCATGGATGATGCATCTAGGGATGGACACTACCACACTTGCTTCGGATGCTGGATCTGACCTAGATTTTCCAGATGAGTGACCAGGTTAAAGTTTTAGGAGCAGGTCCATTCCCAAGTAACTATAAGCCCTACCTTGACCAAACTTGCATGGATGATGCATCTAGGGATGGACATGGCCACACTTACTTCGGATGCTGGATCTGATGTAGATTTTTAGATGTGTACCAGGTTAAAGTTTTAGGAGCAGGTCCATTCCCAAGTAACTATAAGCCCTACCTTGACCAAACTTGCATGGATGATGCATCTAGGGATGGACACTACCACACTTGCTTCGGATGCTGGATCTGACCTAGATTTTCCAGATGAGTGACCAGGTTAAAGTTTTAGGAGCAGGTCCATTCCCAAGTAACTATAAGCCCTACCTTGACCAAACTTGCATGGATGATGCATCTAGGGATGGACATGGCCACACTTACTTCGGATGCTGGATCTGATGTAGATTTTTAGATGTGTACCAGGTTAAAGTTTTAGGAGCAGGTCCATTCCCAAGTAACTATAAGCCCTACCTTGACCAAACTTGCATGGATGATGCATCTAGGGATGGACACTACCACACTTGCTTCGGATGCTGGATCTGACCTAGATTTTCCAGATGAGTGACCAGGTTAAAGTTTTAGGAGCAGGTCCATTCCCAAGTAACTATAAGCCCTACCTTGACCAAACTTGCATGGATGATGCATCTAGGGATGGACATGGCCACACTTACTTCGGATGCTGGATCTGATGTAGATTTTTAGATGTGTACCAGGTTAAAGTTTTAGGAGCAGGTCCATTCCCAAGTAACTATAAGCCCTACCTGGACCAAACTTTCATGGATGATGCATCTAGGGATGGACACTACCACACTTGCTTCGGATGCTGGATCTGACCTAGATTTTCCAGATGAGTGACCAGGTTAAAGTTTTAGGAGCAGGTCCATTCCCAAGTAACTATAAGCCCTACCTTGACCAAACTTGCATGGATGATGCATCTAGGGATGGACACTACCACACTTGCTTCGGATGCTGGATCTGACCTAGATTTTCCAGATGAGTGACCAGGTTAAAGTTTTAGGAGCAGGTCCATTCCAAAGTAACTATAAGCCCTACCTTGACCAAACTTGCATGGATGATGCATCTAGGGATGGACATGGCCACACTTGCTTCGGATGCTGGATCTGATGTAGATTTTTAGATGTGTACCAGGTTAAGGTTTTAGGAGCAGGTCCATTCCCAAGTAACTATAAGCCCTACCCGGACCAAACTTGCGTGGATGATGCATCTAGGGATGGACACTACCACACTTGCTTCGGATGCTGGATCTGACCTAGATTTTCCGGATGAGTGACCAGGTTAAAGTTTTAGGAGCAGGTCCATTCCAAAGTAACTATAAGCCCTACCTGGACTAAACTTTCATGGATGATGCATCTAGGGATGTACACTAACCAACCTGCTTCGAATGCTGGATCTGACCTAGATTTTCCACATGAGTGAATTTTAGCCATATTTGAACCAAATTAGCATGGATGATGTATCTAGGGATGGATACTTCCAGACTTGCCTTGGATTCTGAATCTGACGTACATTTTCCAGATGAGTGACCAGGGTAATTTTTTTGAGTAGCTATATAATATTATGGCCTGTTATGATTAAACTTGCATAGATGGTGCATCTTAGGATGAAAACTTCCAGATTTGCTTTGGATGTTGGAACTGACCAAAATTTTCTTGATTACTAAACAGGTCAAAAGTTTTTTGAGCAGATCTATAATTAAAATCAAACTTGCATGGATATTGATCTTGGGATGTACCCTAACTAGAAAAAAAATATGATGTGAAATTTGCCTTACATGTAGATAACATTCGTCGAGGTGAGCTTCGTAATCTTTGATTACCTATGTTTTTTGTTGTGCTTGCAAAATTAGTGTGATAAATTTTGAATGATTTTTTAAACAAAGAAAGATTTTCAAAGACTAGAATAAAACTGTTGACATGAGTATAATAAGCATTGAGCCATTCAGCAAACTGTGAAATTCATGGCTACAGGGACTGTTCTGGCTTTAAGATAGGCTCTTTTGATCATTTAGGGAAAAATACATAAATTTTCTAAAAATCTTTCTCTCTGTAGATTTTGTAGACAAAGTGCAATGTAATGACAAGGAAAGATAAGGATGCCTATTCCAAAATTGTAAAATTCTTGAATCCAGGGTCAGGAGTAGATTCAAGTTTGTTCAAATCATGACCCCTGGGGGTAGTAGGGTGGGGCCACAATGGATGATGAAAGTTTTGCATAGGAATACATAGGAAACATCTCCTCAGAACAGCAAAGCCATGATTGGTCATATTATATAGAGGCATCCTCTGCTAGTGTATAATCAAGTTTGTTCAAACCATGACCCCCAGGGATAGGTTGGGGCCACAATATGCGATCAAAGTTTTACATAGGAGTACATAGAAAAAAATCTTTAAAAATCTTCTTAAGAACAGCAAAGCCATGATCAGTAGTATTTTTATGGAAGCATCCTCAGGTGGTGTAGATTGAAGTTCATCAAAATCATGACCCCAGGGGGTAGGATGGGGCCACAATGGGCAATCAACGTTTTACATAATACAGTTTGTAAAATAAGGGACATAAGCATGAAAGTATGAGTAAGCATGTATTTCAAATAAAATAGAAGTTAGACGATATGTTAAAGGAAAAATACTTTCATAACCAGGCAACCTTTAAACTGGGCCACGCCCTTTTCCAAGGGGAGATAATTAAGAATTGGTGAAAATTTGGTGTCATCTTTTAAAAATCTTCTTCTCAAGAACCATTGAGCCAGAAAATTTTATACTTATGTGAAACCTTCATTACATAGTGTAGATTCAAGTTTGTTCAAATCATGACCCCCGGGGGTAGGGTGGGGCCACGATGGAGGATCAAAGTTTTACATAGGAATATATAGGGAATATCTTTAAAAATCTTCTTCTCAAGAGCAATAAAGCCACAATTAGTCATATTGATATGGAATCATCCTCAGGTTGTGTAGATTCAAGTTTGTTCAAATCATTACCTCAGGGGTAGGGTGGGGCCACAATGGGGGATCAAACTTTTACATAGGAATATATAGGGAAAATCTTTAAAAATCTTCTTCTTGGGAACAACAAAGCCACAATTAGTCATATTGATATGGAATCATCCCCAAATATTGTAGATTCAAGCTTGTTCAAGGCATCCTCCAGTAGTAGGGTGGGGCCATAATGGGGGATTAAAGTTTTACAAAAGAACATATACAGGAAATATCTTTAAAAATCTTCTTCATTCTCAAGAACAACAAAGCCATGATCAGTCATACTGATATGGAAGCATCCTCAGGTAGTGTACATTCAAGTTTGTTCAAATCATGAAACCCCCCCCCCCCCCCCCCCCCCCAGGGTAGGGTGTTAGACATACTTAAAATTCTGTTTTAAAGAACAGCAAAATCATGATTAGTTATATGAAGATAGAAGCATCCTCATCAGGTTTATATTCAATGTCATTCAAAACATGGCACCTTGGGGTAGGGTATGCCTAGAACAGGCGATCAAAGCTTTATATATGAATATATAGGAGAAGAAATCTGCTGACGAAGAACAGCAGGGCCATATTGACTCAGGTGAGCATTGTGGCCCATGGGCCTCTTGTTTAATCAAATTAGAATGGATGATGTATCTTAGGATGGACACTTTCAGACTTGTTTTGGATTCTGAATCTGACCTACATTTTCCAGATGAGTGACCAGGGTAATGTTTTTGGAGTAGCTATATAATATTATGGCATGTTATGATTAAACTTGCATGGATGGTGCATCTAAGAATGAAAACATCCAGACTTATTTTGGATGTTGGAACTGACCAAAATTGTCTTGATTAGTAAACTGGTTAAAAGTTTTTTTGAGCAGGTCTCTATGCGGATTACTTTCCAAGTAACTATAAGTCCTTCTTAAACCAAACTTGTATGGATATTGATCTTGGGATGAACACTAACTAGAAAAAATATTATGTGAAATTTGCCTTACTGATAGTTAACCTTCATCCAGGTGAGCTTCGTAGTCTTTGATTACCTATGTTTTATAGTTTAGATTCATTGCTCTATTCCTGTCTAATTTTAATACTTCCATTTGGCATATGTTTTGTCAGCTTTGTTTTGCATGATGCAAAATCAAAACACATCACTGTATGATGTGATGTTATACATGTATCTTTATTTTAGAGTAAACATGTTATTCTAGTATTTATCTACATATTTGATTAATTGGCTTGTGTTTAGTTGTATAGATTCTAGACACATGATTACTTTATTAAATAAAGGACTCAAATTGAACTTTATACTGATTTGTCAGAATCCATCCAAATGTCTGTGAAGAACTTTATACTGATTTGTCAGAATCCATC